CCCTTTATCTATCACCAAATGTTGTTTTACAAAATAAAACATCTTTGGAATATATCTCAAGACTAATTAATATAAGTTTTATTTGATGTCATGTAAACAAAACACTTAGCATGAAACATCTTACATTATATATATATATATAAAAGCTTTTAGAAATGTTATCAAGGAAGTTAATTTCCTTTACAAAACATTTTTTATAGGCGAGAAAAAGAATGGCTGCTATCTGAACAAGAAAAATAAACAAAGTTTACCCATTCAGTCATGTTATAATAATGATAATAATAATACTAAAAAGATTGTATAGTGAATAAATAACTAGAAGAAACTAAAAAATAAACAGGTTCACTAATTCACCACCATTGTTAATGTTATGTAAATAACAAATTGGAACATGATTTAGATAACAAATCATTAGAATTGAAAACATCAAACTTTATAAACAATAAAAATATTTAAAAAGAACGAAATAACCAGAAATGTTTGTTCATATTTAAATGACAAAATAGAACAGGGTAGAATTCTTCTCCTTAACATATGTCCAATAGTTATTCTAAAGATGTTTATAATATCAGAATGGATTTGTGGAGATTTTTTCTTAGAAATTTCACAGATTGAAATCATGAGTCAAATGAAGCTAGACCACCATGGAAAACCTAGAAGCACTGGACGGCCGTTTCGTCCTAGTGTGGGACTCCTCAGCAGCGCGCATCCACGATCCCGACATTAACACAATTGGATGCCGGCTCAGTGGTCTAGTTGGTTAAGCGCTTGGCGCGAGACTGACAAGTCCTGAGTTCGACTCTCGCGGGGGGCGGGATCGTGGATGCGCACTGCTGAGGAGTCCCATACTAGGATGAAATGGCCGTCCAGTGCTTCCAGGTTTTCCATGGTGGTTTAGCTTCATTTGACTCATGATTTCAATCTGTGGTATTTACAATAGATATATAATAGTTACGAACAAAAATCAGGCAACTCATTATATCCTTTTTAAGACTTATCACCTGAATGTAAGTAGATGTTAGTGTTCATATCTACATTAAGACATGAGCTCAGTATTTTTCACTTTAAGAGCCAAAAGTTATAAAGTGAGTTTGTAGAAATTAATTTCTTCCCTATCTAACTCTAATAAATTGTATCCCGTTAACTGAGTATTTAATGCAGACTAAATCTCCTAGTAGAATTATAGATTTACTCGAGATTGAAGATGGCACAGGTATTCAGTGTTTGACAACGCTTCTACCAGTAACACCTTCTAATATAATTTGTACCCACCAAGAGAAATCAAAAGACAGAGTCGAGGAGATCGGAAGAGTGTATTTGGCGATTACCAATATATCGGAATTCTCTGATCTAATCTGGCTAGCGATTGCGGTAGATGTTGAGCACAGCATTACCACACGTGATCTGGTGCGGATGCCTGACCGAGCGCCTTCAGCTAGATGAGTCCACTAAAACATATGGTCAGCATCCGATGTCGAAAACTTACAGAGCTATTTATTTTGGGGATTTATTTACCGCTACAGATCACTCCCCCCTAGTGGGGCAGTGAAGACCCTAAGACGTGGCCAGCCAGAACTTTAAACCCAACGAATCTGTCTTTGGTAAAAGCCTGAACACCAGTTGTAGAGATAGTTTATTGTTAAAGATTGGTAAAATCCGCAAGCGTAGAGGAAGTAAGCACACAGGTAAACCAAGAGTATGTATTAAAAATTCATATACATTTATGAGTGTTAATCAAGTATGGACAAATTATTGATTGTCTGTGTATTACAACCAATGAGAGAGAATAGATTAAACATTGATGTGCAGACATATGCTGAATCAGAGTCACACAGAAAATTGCATAGTGGGTTAAGTGTCTAAATTACAATTTTTAAAAAAAAATAAGATATTCCATTTGTACCATATGTGTCATAAAGATTTGAATGATACTATGGTTGCTATTCTGAACTGAATTTTTAAGTCAATCTTTATTATCTATATATGTACATCAATTTACAGAACAAACATAAATATGATTGATCACCTTGTAGGCTGATAAACTTTTGTAAACTTAAAATTGAATATAACAATTTAATTTATCAGTTCTGAATTTACTACTTATTTAAATAAATAATTAAAAAATAAAATAAAATTAAATCAAAGATTGTTGACCTCCACTTTTTCACAAACGAAAAAATAAATAAATGAATCTGAATAAAACATCATGTTTTTAGATTTTAATTAGAAATTTAATTAGAGATTTTGTAATCTAGGCATTATCACATCTACAATATTTAGTAACCTAGTTTCATTCTATGAATAGATACATATGTAATCTGGTTTTCTTAGATTGTTATTCGCACTCTCAGTTACATGATGAACATACTTACTTACTTACTTACGCCTGTTACTCCTAATGGAGCATAGGCCGCCGACCAGCATTCTCCAACCCACTCTGTCCTGGGCCTTCTTTTTTAGTTCCATCCAATTCTTGTTCATTTTTTTCATGTCTATTTCCATTTCCCGGCGAAATGTATTCTTTGATCTTCCTCTTTTCCTTTGGCCTTGAGGATTCCATGTGAGGGCTTGTCTTGTAACGCAGTTGGGTGCTTTCCTCAATGTGTGTCCTATCCACTTCCACCACTTCTTCCTGATTTCTTCCTCCTCTGGGATCTGGTTTGTTCTCCCCAACAGTTGGTTGTTGCTAATAGTGTCTGGCCAACGGATCCAAGGTATTTAGTGTAGACAACTGTTAATAAACACCTGTATCTTCTAGATGATGGGTTTCGTAGTTCTCCAGGTTTCCACTCCATACAGTAGAACTGTCTTGACATTTGTATTGAAAATCCTGACCTTGGTGTTGGTTGAGAGTTGTTTTGAGTTGGAGATGTTCTTCATTTGTAAATATGCTGCTGTTGCTTTTCCGATCTGCGCTTTCACATCTGCATCAGATCTACTGTGTTCATCAATGATGCTGCCCAAATATGTAAAGGTTTTTACATCTTCCAAATCGTCTCTGTCAATTGTGATTGGATTTGTTCATGCTGTGTTGTATCGGAGAATCTTGCTTTTCGGTTTGTGTATATTGAGACCTACTGCTGCCGAGGCTGCCGCTACACTGATCGTCTTCTCCTGCATTTGTTGTTGCGTTTGTGATAGAAGGGCCAGATCATCTGTGAAGTCTAGATTGTCCAACTGCATTCTAGATGCCCACTGTATTCCATGCTTCCCTTCAGATGTTGACGTCTTCATGATCCAGTCGATCACCAGGAGAAAGAGAAAGGGTGAGAGTAAGCAACCTTGCCTGACACCGGTCTTTACTTCGAACGACTTTGTCAACTGTCCTCCATGCACGATTTTGTAGTTTAATCCATCATAGGAATTATTTGTTCTTTGAGCTGAGAACAAAACTCGATCAAAATCATCCTTTTGAGCTACAAATCTTCTTCATCATGAACTAGTTTTTTTAGTGGTAAGTTTTGTTTTGAAACTTTAATTAATAAAACAACTATTCGAAAAAACAAACTTTCTGGAAAATCTTTCTTTATTGTTAAGACCTTTCATTCTACCAGTTTATTATAAAATTTAGATAATGTAATGAAAAGACGAAGGTTATTAGAACTACATGACAGATTCATATCAAGTATTTCATAAGATTTGGTAACACATTAACTTGATAAAGCATTGGAACATGAAAAATAAATGTTAACTAGGTATTCTGAAAGATTAGAGAAAAACAAAGATTTTCTTTATAAAAATCACTGTTGATAACATGATTAAATAATCAGTTAACATACAAATTGTTTTCAAATAGACAAAGTGGGGTTTGAACTTCAGTATGGATACGGGTCCAACAAACCTCAATACCTTCTCTACTCAAACTGTACTTACTTACTTACTTACTTACTTACTTACTTACTTACATACTTACTTACTTACTTACTTACTTACTTACTTACTTACTTACTTACTTACTTACTTACTTACTTACTTACTTACTTACTTACTTACTTACTTACATACTTACTTACTTACTTACTTACTTACTTACTTACTTACTTACTTACTTACTTACTTACTTACTTACTTACTTACTTACTTACTTACTTACTTACTTACTTACTTACTTACATACTTACTTACGCCTGTTACACATCGTGAAGGAGCATAAACCGCTCACCAGCATTCTCCATCCAACACTGTCCAAAGCAATCCTTTTCAGCTCCTTCCAGTTGTCATTCATCCTTTTCATATCTGATTCTATTATCCGACGTAATGTGTTCTTTGGCCTTCCTCTTTTCCGCTTCCATAAAGGATTCCAAGTTAGGGCTTGCCTCGTGATTCAGTTTGATGACTTGCGTAATGTATGTCCTATCCATTTCCATCATCTTTTCCTAATTTCTTCTTCAGCTGGAAGCTGGTTTGTTCTCTCCTACAATAGGCTGTTATTGATGGTACCCGGGACAATGGATGTTGAGTATATTGCGAAGGCAACTATTCATAAATACTTGTACCTTCTTGATGATGGTTGTAGTAGTTCTCCAAGTTTCACCTCCGTACAGTAGAACTGCCTTGACGTTCGTATTGAAGATCCTCACTTTCATATTGGTTGAAAGTTGTTTTCAGTTTCATATGTTCTTCAATTGCAGGAATGCGGCTCCTGCTTTGCCAATCTTCGCCTTTACGTCTGCATCTGAACCTCCTTGTTCAAATTGTATAAAAAGTCAAATGGTTTGAGCTAATATCAATCTTGTGAAATTAATTAGTTATCTGTACGCCTTATAACTGATCATTGATAATGATATGTGTCCTATAATAACTATCCATCAATCAGGATCTATCAATATTATTTGAAATAAGCGAAAATAAAGAGATGGCAGCTAATTTTTCTTACTAGTTTAGATATCACTTTACATTACAACTAAATTTCGTGGTGTAATTTAATTGTTACTGTAAATAAGATGTTAAATATGATTATTACGAAAGTTTTTTTATGATAAGTTACATGAACGTTAATAGTTACTAACAAATATGAACCTTACGAAAAGAAATACAATGTGTAGGCGTTTTGAACAAACTTAAAGAAGCAATCTAAACCTAAAAACGAGATTTTGACAATGTTTTGTCAACGTAATTTTATATTTTTTCAGTAAAAATATAAACTGAATCTCCTAACTATAGGTAGAGAAACATAATCTAGATTATATTGATAATAAACAAAAGTTCTTTGAATTATTTCCACATCACTACTTCCTACTATAATATCCATTCATAATTTGAACGATATATCATTGTTTAGGTTCTAGCTTTTGTGATGCATTCTAAAGAAACATGAAAATAAACGGACTTTTCTTTCAACAATAAAATAATGACTTATATAATTTTGGTTCATGGGAATCTTGACTTCATAACTGTTGATGATAAATCCATAATTGTCAGGTGGTAGCTGTATAATGATTCAACAAAAAGAAGATTTATTGTTTTAGGAAGCATCTAGAAATATATATATACATCACAATGCTTGCTTACTAAATTTTGGACATTTATTAAATGAACAGTTAAGCATGATTTACGCCTTGAATAATTGTTCATTATTGATTCTATGCCAATTTTTTTTTAAACTCAAGCGTTTATCTCAATTTCTTTTATTCATTGTTTAATATTTCTAATTTTACCCCAAACCATTTTTCATGTCAACTGACTTTCAATGGTTTACAAATAACAATAAATACTGACGCCTTTAATGTGAGTAAGTATAGTTTTTTTTTAGGTGTGTCATAATTAAATATACAGTTAGAAAATACAATGTATGTATCGGTCTTTTCTAACTTTAAAAGAGTTAAACAAAGATTTCGGTACTGTTGAATTCCTGTATAGATTTCATACCTGACGTTCAAATAAAACAGTAGGTTACTATATGATTGAAGTAGTTTACTAGACTAAGTTCTTTGCAAACAAAACAAACAAAATAACCTACTCACTATTTTGATTATTTGAGAAGATTCATTAAGTTCAAAACATGTCTGACTAATTACCGATAATGTCCAACTAACTCATTGAAAGTCACCGTATAATTTCTCTTTGCTAAATGATGTCATAATCAATATTTAAAAGCGAAAATGATTGTTGGAATTGTCTCATAGGAAATTTTAGGAGTTTAATTTGACCAGTTTATACTTTTAACATTTAAGCAAAATAAAAACATTTCAGTCGAAAATATTTCGAACGACAATATGGTTAACTACAGCTGAACATCAGTCATTGTTCTCATTCTTTTTCTTATCTTCTGATATATTGATTCTTCTTTATCCCTCTTTATAATTGTTGATTAGACAGTTGAAGCTTACATCTCTTGTCTATATATTATTTTTACTTAATCGATTTTCAATAACGTTTGAATATATTGGTAGCGTTTAAATCTAACATCAGAGAACTATTAAATGAATTCATATATTTTCTTAAACATCCTGCTGTATGACTAGATCCATTTGATAATCCAATATAAGTAATCGGATACAAAATATCTTAATAATGTTTTGTTAAGTCAAATGATAAAACAGACCAAATGTGAAGCGAATAGAAATTGTAAGATGTGAATTGTGTGATGTATACCGTATAATAGATTGATTAACGTAGAAACTAGCAGAGTAGCTTGAATGGAGTATGATTGGGTGATCAACTACCGTATTAACTATTGACTTGGAATACATGTACAGTTCAACTACATGGAATAATGTAAACAAATATACAAATAGACGAGTACACATCCATATCAAATGTACGTAAACAAAAATTCATAACCAATCGTTTAGATTAATAATGTAGTAATAAACAGATCAAGTCTGTTTGGGCATGAGGGTGCTATAACTACTTCACTTAGCTTCAGTAACCATAAAAAACATCTTATGAATTTGTTAATTACTCAATATATTATTTATTTCATTTCAGACTATTGTGCATAGAAAGTCACAAATATAACTAAACAGTTTTAAGTAAATAAAAACGTTGATCCTCTAGTATTTCCACTAAAGTTTGCACATATATTTCCTTTGACTAATTCACCTATCTGATAACTGATGTTATTATCACATATCTAGTTTCATTACTCGCCAATATATTCAAGTTGAGTTAGGCTGTCTACCTTTTATGAACTACAATAAGTTTCAAAATAACTATAGGATATTTTACATGATGACTGCTTGTGAGTTGCGTATCGATCATTAAAAATATTACGAAATACATTTTACAAACTTCTTCTAAATTTTTATGATCCGAAGTCTGGTTGTGTTTTTACTGATGTTCACAATTGTAAACCACTACACTCTTATTTGTCAGCATTATTTTATTCAGAAGTATTATGAATGTAATGGTGGCTGATTAACACATATATTAGTCTGCCCAAAAAGTTTCTTTGACTGTTAAATCATTTCATTGATAATTAAAGTACGTTTATGTTTTATAAATGAATAATATGCTCTTCTATTTACCATCTATCCAATCAAAACAATTTTTTAGTAAACAATTTATCCGCATTATCGATTGCTCAATTGACTTGTTATTCGTTATGATAATAATAAAGGCAAACTTCAAGCTTAATATAGGTATCATTACTAAGGTTTGATTTGATAATTACGAATAAACTGAGCATTGGGTAGATTGTCATAAATAAATAGTATATTTGTAATATCCTAATGAGTTGAAAAATTTGATTTTCTGACGTTTCGTGGCTTAGTGTAGGTCACTTCTTCAGAGAATAGTTATTGACAATTTTTTAGTAGACGGAATACACTCATTAGGACATTAAATAAGAAAGACTGGTTCAGCAAAGAGTTCTCTTTTCAGCGAATTCATTTTCAAAGCTGTACAACCGTAAATATGTATACCTATTTTTACAAGATAATAATAATACTGATAATAAACTTCTGTTAGACATGGTGACAGTGAGGTTAAATAAACAAAGTTATTAAAACTTTTTTTATAAAACAAGTTTAATAATCGTTTGATTGTTAATGGCTTAAGTATTTATCAGAAAGATAGATAGGGCGGTCTGCTTGAATACCTGGGCTACCTGTTTCTGCCATCTAATTATTTCAACAAGTTATTTGTCTTTTTCATTTTGTTTTTAACTTCTTATTATGCCCATTAATTGCATAACCTATACAGTCGCGTTTATGAAAAGCCTACGACCTTTCACTGCACAAGTTACAAAAAAGTACTATAAAAGACATCGTGGTGGTTGGCAATATGCGTTAAAGAGAATGAACATTAATCGTATGTCGATTCCCGAGCTGCTAAATTCTAACTGCCGATCACTAATCAACCAAGTGAACCATCTTCAATTCCTACTAAGTCAAAATATGTATCGTAATTGTGGTGTCATCACAATTCAAGAATCTTAGTTAAATGATCTGCAGAACGACAGCCTAGTATCACTACGTGATTTCAAAATTTATCGTCAGGATCGATCAAACAATAAAAAGAGGTGTGGTGGCGGTGTAGCTACGTTTGTGAACGTGAACTGGTGTCGATCTTCGTTTGCGTGTTTCAAGTTTTCAAACGACTTTATCGACTGTCTAACTCTAAGATGCCGTCCAAAACATCTGAATAAATACAAATATATTTATGTTACCAATATCTACGTGACTCCGGACTGCACATTATCTGCGCTATCTGTTTTCGCTGATGAATTCACTGAGTTCGCTGTTACTGCCTTCAGTGATTCACTTGCAGTTGTATGTGATGATTTCAATTCATGTGACTGTAGCTTCCTTACGTCACTAGGTCACCAAAACGTAGTAGATTTTCCTACTTGTTTGGATGCTCATTTAGACTTCGTTTTCATTAATGATGTGGGTATATATGCGACTCGTAAACGTGCCACATTATCTAGCTCAGATCACTGTATAATTCGTGTTCTACCTAAAGTATATGGAAAGCATGGAAAGAGTACACTCTTACATCAAACCAAGAAAGTCAAATATAGGAATTACTCAGAAGAAAACATCCAAAATGGGAAAAATATGTTTCATACGACTAACTGAGAATTATTTACAGATGACTCACTGGAAAACACTACTGATGTTATCACTTGTTACCTTAAATTCTGTTCTGATATTTGTTGTCCCACTGAAACCATTTTTGTAAGTTCTGATCGACTTACATCTACACAACTAAAACGACTACGGAGGATGAAAGAAAGAATGTACAAGGAGAAGAACTCGAATGAAGTTCGTAAGCTAAATGGTCTGATAAACCTAGAGATTGGACGTCTCAACTGTATGTTTACTCAAAAACTCTTGTCTTGCAAAAACTCTCCAAGTATGTGGAAACTCTTTAAAGAACTTACAGGTGACAGACAGTTTAGGAGCGATAACCAGCTGAATGTTTGTGACTTACACAAGTCTTTTGTGCATCAGCCATCTGATGTAATGCTCCTTTCATCCACAGGTTTAAAGAATAGCTTTGTTCCTAGTTTCATTGAAACTGATGTCCGAAGATGTCTCCAGTCACTTAATTCATACCGATGTTTAGGACCTAATGGTATCCCAAACCTCCTTTTTAAAAAATGTGCTGACGTCCTACAAATCATATGAAATGTGTCTTTGTAATGAAATATTTCGTTCTATTTCTGATATTCTTGACTTTATAATATAATATAATATAATTCAAGATGAGACGTTTCGAATCATGATGATTTAGATGGATGTCAGTTCGACGTAATGTATTGAAAAATGGTCTCGAATGTTCGTCTTTGTCTACATAGCTTTGCAGAAAATCGAATCTGACATTTTCTATATTAAACTTGACAGAAGAACGAAAAGATACATTGCAATTTTTTGGACGAAGTGATTTACTCAAGCTATATATTATTACTTTAAGTTGTTAAGTTAACTTTAATCAGTTATTACTAACATCCCTTCTTAGGTTTATCATTATGAGCTTTACGATTTTTAATACATGCCAAGCGAACAATTATCTTTGATAATTCCGAATCGTAAATTATTTCCATTCTCCTATTCTTCTTTAATCTGCTGATTGTTACGCAATTCCATTTGATATTTAAAATCTCGAATCACTTTATGATGCAATCTTTTCTATCTTTCTATAGACTTATACATTTACCCAACAACTACAAATGTGAATGTACAATTTAAGTAAATGACTTCGTCGAAAAGAGAAAATTTTTCTCAGGATTCTTTTTATTTTTTATTCAATGTCTTAATGGGTTGTGTAAATTAATTTAAGTAAAATTCCATATTGTAACATATAGGAATACACATTAAAATTCCTCTGGATTAAATTAGTATCCTTTCACTTATATAAGCATAAACAGTTTTGTAGAATGAATAGTTTTTGTATAAGAGTGAATTAGTAATAAACTTAGATTGTAAATTGACAATGTTGATTTGACTATAGACCAAAAGATTAATTTTCAATAAAACTGTATTAGAAAATTAGATTTGACACATTGAGTACTTTTTATTTCCAAGTAAACTGAACTTTGAAGAAGAACAAATTACCAAATTTTATCAAACATACACATGTCAGATGAACATCAGCTTCAATCAAAGGTTCTTGTAGCAGTAATAAATAAAAAAATCTTGTAGGTTTGTCATCCAAAACTAAATACTATAGTTAAATGATTATATAATGCTTTTAAAGATCAAATCAATGAAAGAAATCACATAGTTCACTAACTAAATGTTTTAATCAGTACATTACAAAAAGAAACTGTTTCTAACGACATAATGTAAAAGCTTAAAATAATTTCCATTCTTTTTATCAAACCGTTGAAGGTAGTAAGATCAAGTACAAAATCTATATTCAAATGTTTGGTGGATTAGAAAATTGAAACATTCATATAAAATGTATTTCGAGGCATAGAATAACTCAGTTCAAGGGGAATCGCTTCATTGTTGAGCAAGTACACTCCTGGTAATTTCATAAAATTGGTGTTAATATTTTTAAAATAACTAGATCGTTACAATTTACATCACAGACTAATCTTAACTAAACATTCAATTAAAACTGAGAAGAATCAAACAAATGATTTCAATGGTTGTTTAACTAAAATCATTCCATGATGTCAACTATGAAATGAAACAAACTTTAATAACTCTCCTACATAGTAACATAGATTATATTTTAAATCAATTAAATTGAAAATCCCGATTGGTTTACTTAAAAGCAACCCCTACTTACACTATTATCGAGAAAAGGAAATTTAAGATTGAATAACATCATATCTGATACAAGATACCTTTATTTATTTTCTTTTCGTAAGCCAAAAGAAAATTTCCGTAATAAATGTTCCTAAAAAAGCATCAAATAATAGTCACAAGATTAAGTATTGTACTTGTAGTTGTGTACAAAAACTAGATTATAAATAGATTTACAGGATTGTAATCATTTTGAATCTTTGAACAAGACATGAAACACACGTTATCACTGTAGGACTAGTCAATACAGGAAATCCATTGGATTTAGTAATATTGTAGTGTATGCTTCTTATGTTTGTCGATATAATTAGTATGTAATAACATTCGGAGGTAAAAAAACCTTGGCAGCAGAAGACTAAGAAGATCGAGCTGAAGAAAACAGAAGAGAAAATAGAAAGGAATTGTGAACTTGAAGAATCATACAGAATGTGAAGGACAAAGTATGGGAGATTCGCAAATAAAGTATTCACTGTTAGATTCTTATATTTAACCGAGATACTTTGTAAGTTTGTGTTAAAATACAATTGGTCGGCCCCACTCGTGTTCACGTCCGTTGGATTATCACTAAATAAACTTTGTATGACATCCATCTTAGAAGAGTAACTTTGAATGTAAAGAAAAATCGATATGATTTGACATAGAGTAAGCTATTCGTTGCAGCATTATGTACTTCTATATAACTTATTAACCAGTTTGAATATATAAGACATTAGCAAAATGAATATATTAAATAATAAGCATAATTCAGTTAACAATATCCATTCACCTACTGATAGTAATCACATTCCATTTTAACCATGTAGCCTGTCATTTGTGGTATCAAAATGACTGACTATTTCCTAGCGTCTGACTTAATATAACACAAAAATGACAGGAAATGAATTATAAAATGTCAATGAAATTAATATGGGTAATTTTTTACTTACTAAAACTGTCCTTAACATAATATTGGTATTTCAGCCAAATGTGCATAAAAGTTAAAATAATCATTTCTGTACAAGAGTCGAATTGATGTTTGTTAAAACCATAGTCAGTTTAAAGTGCATTGAGATCTATTATTTTTCTTTACAACAAATGTTATGTTTAAGATATGTTTAATAGATTATGTACATTTATTTGACAATATCATTTTATTTATACTATTCTAGGTTTGTGGAAAGGGAGTATAGATGTCTGTTTAAGTCTGCCGCTACTTCAAAATACGAATTTAAAAGAAATTCATACCTTGTGTAAGATAAAATAACCTAACAATCCAAGATAAATTTACATATCTGTTTTGGTTTAAATTACTGACTTTTTAGAAATAGAAAGTCACGTAGAACTTACCTCATTTAATTTCATATGTTTATAGTAGGGATTTGCCAATTTTTGTCGCAATGAATGTTATATATGAAAGATAACTTTGAATGATTCTTAGTTCTAATAATAACGTGTTCCAACTTTTCTGATTATTATTTCTGCATTCAACAGTTTTCTAAAATGTTATAACTTGTGACCTGTATCCTAATTAATGTATAACGTGATGATACCGCCATTTAGAGAACAGTGAATTATCGATCGGATCCATGAAGCATAAAACCCGTACGAGCAGTCTAAAGTCTTTATCGATCCTGCTTCCCGCTCAGCAGTGCATGTTAAGTCCAGAACACCAATCTCAGCAACTGAGATATGAATCATTTATTTAGAACACACTGGGTTTATATCCCAATCAGACAGACCACATCGTACCATGAAATAGGATACAACATTTGTACAAGAAGTGGCTGTGAATGTGAGAGGTAGTAATTGATAAACTGGGTATAACTCAAGAATGGTAAATCGTATAATAATAGTTCATAGGTCAAAATAAAGCTCATGATAAGAGGAACACGAATATGAATAATTTAGTCATTTAAAACGTCACTTACGCCTGTTACTCCTCGTGAAGGAGCATAGGCCGCTTACTAGCATTCTCCATCCGATGCATAGTATTGGTCCACAAATGGGTCCAAAAAGTTACCATTCATTATTCACATCGGGATGCAACAGAAAAATTCACATGTGACGTCATGGAATTCTAAAACTGATAGTCATGTAACGGAAAGACGAGAATGATGGTAGTTTTGTTATCTGTCATAATTTATTTTAAACATAGTCATACTTTAGGACAAAGAGTGATATTTTAGTTATTCATCTTATTATCTTAAACAATAAATTTCAACATTCTGAATTGATCGTAAGCATTAACCAATAGATTTCTTGAATTTGTTATTTTAGATCAATAATTTAGTACGTTATTAAGGAAGAGTTGAAAAAACTGATCGTGTTCATTTGGTGTTACTGACTCCTAAAACCTTTTTTCATCATAGCATATTTTGTGTCAAACACCCTTCTTCATTAGCAAATCTCAAAAACAATATAAGGAAACTTCATATACTAGACTAAACATTGAGTTTGTGGGGCCCTTTATTTTGTCGTCATTTAGATCGGAAGATGTTGTCAAAAGGGCTCTCCACTTTCGTCGCCCGAGTTCTGACTCCAATTAGATTGCATGAATGATTGTTATTGAATTGTATATGTTGCCTATCCTCATATGTCTTTATCGACTTGATCCGCGTTCAGTGAATAACAGAATTAAGTCAAATAACGAGAATGGACTTTTGAATACAGATATTTTGTATATGAAGCGAATGGAATAGAGCAAAGTAAAACGACGCGCAGTGGAGATGGCGGGTAAGCCAACTCCATTGGGCCAAGCGTTAATCAATATTTATAGTCACACAAAAGTAAATTACAGACATGTGACGAATAGGATAAGAAATGTACACACATATATAAGCTCATATAAAAACAATTAAGATTGGTAAGTGAATAGTTAACAAGGTCGAAATATGACTCAAGTAGAATAAGTAGATTGGCCTGTCCGAAAGCCAGAATAAGGTATATGGGAAATACAAGTTCCTTTATGAATATCACAATAAAACGTAACTAACCTCTTTAGAAACGTCCAGCAATTATATGACCGTATATTTTCGATCGATTTGTTTTGAAATGAATTTTCATGGTCTCAATGAGAAGTAGTGACTGGTAAAGCTCAACTTTGTCGAGGGTGAGATAGTGATCAGCAATGTCATAAAATGATCTTCACACTGTATTATTCATGATCTCAACCAAGAAATTTTATAAATGTGGACCACTGGACGTTAACCCTGTATGTCAAGTTTAAGGCCCCCAATCATGAGAACTGGAGGTACCGAGATCAATCTCTAGCCGAGTCAAGAATAGATATTGCATAAGCAACCCATACTACTACTATTCTGTGCTAGCTGGTTATCCACAGTAAACTAACTGATGTTAGTCCATTCCTTATACAATCGACTAATCAAATTAATATTTAGAAGCATCTCGGGGATGAAATTTCTATAAGGGCAACTTTAAATTGTAACTCACCAACGTAGATGATCTATGTCGAATGATCGGAAGCCTACTCGAGTTAAACGGGAATGGCGTGACGAACCAGCTAACGTTGAAGTCACACCTCGTGGTCAGCACCTTACGTGGACTGCCCCATTGACGTATCAAGGTACCACAGATGCTTTGGAGACAACATAGAGGACGTTATTACAGAAATATATTAGTTAAAGTAGATACAAACGAAAGTAAGACCACGGCCGCATGGGTCAGTTCATGGCGTACCATTAACTGATGCGCGTCGATTTTCCTTGACCCTGACGAGGATTGATGATTTGTTCGATATTCAGTGACCCAACTGCCGGATGGTTTGGCTAGGGCTCAGTAGAATTTCACTGGCCCTACAAAACAGACTAAAAATATACCAAAAATTAAGGTTAAACAGCGTTCATCAGAATCACTTGTTTATTATCTGGAGAAAAACTCGTACTTCTCTTGTATTACGAACGAATTTTACTGAACCCGATGATCAAAGTATATTCAGTTAACAGCTGCTTATAAGTTCATTACTTAACTAAGATAATGACTGACATGTTTTTAAAACTCTTGACAGAAAAATTATCGATAAACTCTCTAATACATCATGCTAAAAACAATCTATAAAGACACCATATTCATTTTTTTAGATTAACTGAAATAATTCAACGCCAAAATATTTATGACAATTAACATTAAGTTGTAATGAGATTTCACTCTGTTTACATTTATTCTATTTAAGCTGCTTCGACCTTGTCATCCGAATAATAATTGAAAGTCATACTAATTCCGAATAAACTTTGTACTGTGAAAATATGTTTATATTGGAAAATAATCACTGAATGCAAAGATATTAATGCACTGTCGCTACTCACTGGTGTAACATATCAACAATTCTCGTTAGCATTATCATTATCGGCAGTATGCAAAATACATCTATTCTTTAAAAATATATCGGATATTCAAAACATTTAATCTTTGATATTTTAATAGTTGAGATCACGAGTCAATTGAAGCTAGACCACTATGGAAAACCTGGAAGCTCTGGACGGTCGTTTCATTCTATTGTGGGACTCAACAGTGTACATCCACGATTCCGTCTTATACTAGAACGAAACGGTCGTCCAGTGCTTCCAGGTTTTCCATGGTGGTCTAGCTTTAATTGACTCATGATTTCAGCTATTAAAATTACTATAATATTCACAAAAAACCCTTCTGATACTATTCTCTGATATGTTTAGTTTGTGTCACGAACTAAGAGATATAGCTATTTCAATACCTGTAGAGTTAGATTTGAAAAGATATTTTGATCATGATCATCATGATCAATGTTAATAATAAAGATCAAAATTTTGTCCACCACACTTGTAATTGAAATCAATGTAGCCATGATAGAATTGCTGTATAAACAAAACGTTTTGAAATGAACAGTTCTAGTTTATATTTTATGCTTGAAGTTTCCTATTAATAGTAATATCACAAAATATAAAAAAATATAATTCTATGATCAGTTTTAAACATAAGTCTTAAAGCAAGTGACAATTAAAGTGTTTTTGACTTTTATTCGGTTTTTGTAGTTTAATTATTTTTACAACCGTCGACGTACATAATAAATAACATAGTAGAGATCACTAATATACCTCTTCATACAACGCTTTTCTATATTTACGTCATGATCTATATAGGAGTCAGATATTCCTGTCCTACCGAAAATAGTAAATTCCAAAGGGCTATTATTTAACCTCAGATAGGTCATCTTTAAAAATATGCAAGCGATAAATGATCATTTTGTCCTAGTATGGGGTTCCTCAAAAATGTACATTCACAATCTCGCATTAGAAAATCAAACACAAGACCTTTGATTTTGCATGCAAATACTTAACTACCAAACCAATGAGCTGGGCTAACGTCCGACACGCTCTAAAGACCACCATTTACGCTTTCTCATGAAAGCACCTGATGGACCATTTTGAAGCTAGTCATTAGTGAGCTCACAATCCTGTTTGTTAATATGACCCAAAATCCTTCATAATGGTATCGAATCTTATAAATGAAATACTAACGGACGAAAATCCATATCTGTTGATAAACTTCAACAATTTAACTGGATGAAATGAAGTACACTTTGCTACATCGTGAAAACTAATGAATAATACGTAAATAAATATTAACCTATCATTCTTACATCTTTTTTAACTCATATTGTAGACAATAATGATGTACATTTGGTTGTCCAGCCATCTATTATTTCTTTGAAAACCAATTTGATTGACATAACAACAAAAACAAGCATACATTGTATATGTTAACATTTTTAGCAATCCTCACATATTCTGAGAAGTACGATTTGCCGCTACCAGACAAAAAGATTAAATTATTCTTGACCATGGTCTACGGTCATAAATGAATATTGATTTTTATACAAGAACTGAATACACATGCATAAATATACTTTATTTGATTTCATTTATTCACTTTACAAATCCATATTCAACATTCTAACATAATTTTTTATTTATTTAGTACACACTCATTTTGTAGCTCTATTCAGTAATTTAAGTTGTTCGATTGAAGAAACTCTTTTCTAGTTGAAGAGCAAATAGTTAGTATAATTTTTTATTTCAATCATTGAAAACTTTACACTTATTTCTCTCATTTTTTATTACATAATTCATATTCTTTTTAAATTTTAGATGTTTAGGTGTAAGTTAGAATTTCAATCTCCAAGCCGATAAATATTTTCTTATGACCGGTATGACGGTTCCAGTTTGTTCGATGAACAGTACAGGTGATATTTATCTATTAAATCAGGTAGGACAAATTAGATAACATATATAAAATAACATCTATTTTTCATGAACTTTATTACAGTTTGGCAATGAAAAATACCGTCTAGGGTGAAAAATTTATATTATTTAGAATTCGAAGAAAACTACTAGCCATCTGTTTAAGTATTTCTAAGTACCATGATGAATAAAAATGGAAGTGAAATTCAAGAAGGGACCTTATAATAGAAAGTTAAAAGCAGATTTTACCACAAACATATCTCAGCTAAAGGGTAGTTGAAAGAAATCGATCATCCATCGTTGTTTTTTGAACTTTCCTTCTTATAAAAATATATGCTCTCTCATGACAGTTTACAATATACATGATTGTATTTTGCATACAACAGATCCGAAATAAATTAATCGAAATGTCTAATGTAAACAATTATTTACTTTACTGACTATACAGATCATCATTTCAGCTGACGGCTTAATAGTAGATCCCAAATCATCTCACCGATAGAAAAGTAACTGTTATGTAAGTTAGTGATATCTGGAAAATCATCAAAGTTTACAGTACGTTCCCAAATCAAACTTATTCTAGACAGAGACACTTGTTATTAATCTCACTAACCTTCAACAATCAGCACAAATTCTATTTACAATTTAAAGAATATCCCATTCAAAGCTGGTGGTAGCAACGATAGTTTATTAGTGAATGGTTACTTTTGATTTAACCATTTGAGGTCTCCTTAATTATATGGTCGTAGTTTATTAGTTAACTAATTGTCTGATAAAGCCAATTTAAAAACAAAAAATTCACATATTTCTGTGAATTTAAAGAAATTATCATATCAGTTAAATGGTTAAATATGATTTTTCCAAAAACCTACTATTTACGAACTAGTCATCCATTAGACTTGAAATTCCATTACTGGCTCAATATGGGCAGCTTAGCACATGACATCATTGGTGTTTTGCTTAGCACAGTTCTTCTTTAAAGGATGAGTTTGTTAACCCCATTCCCTACCTTTTTTCTTTATCCAGACATGTGACTAGCAATAACTCCTAGAAGGACTTGAGAAGAAGTTGCAGTCTCGGCGAGGCCTCGTGCTGCCCCCAAATGCCCTGGTACGGCCGAGAGTGGGGAGAGTCCGCTCTCCCTCTCGAAATTCTCTCACATAGCCACGCGTATATAGCCTCTGCCAGGGAAGTCATACTCACTGCCTTCTCGTAGCAGGGGTGTTGTTTACGAAATTTAAAGGACGAAAAGCGAACGTATGGCGCTTTAACCGGGTTGGTGGATATGGAGAGTCCACCTAGGGGAGGTGGAAAATCCTGATTCCAAACCAATGGTGCACATGGGCTCCAGTATCCTGAAGGAACAAATGGCGTATGAACCAATCGTTGGTCTCCGGCTAGCATGGGACGGCATCTCCTTATGTTACCCCACTGCCTTGTGGATCAGACCTTCATGTCGAAGGCTCCGGGTGTAGCCCCGTAAGACAACCACCTGCTTCGGTTTGGGCACCCAGACAGTATCACAGCCCTCACACAAATCAAATGAGATTTGTGTGGCGCATATGTATTTGGTGCCTCCTTGTATCAATATCTATGTGTTAAAATAAATAAACAAAAATGTAGTAACGAACTATGATCTATCATGGTAACACCATATTTTATTTAACCTTCCTTTTTTTTCTATTCAATAATATTTATTTCTTTTTATTTGTTTTAATATTATTTATTTTAGGATTTGATTAATGCAGCAAATACTGCTATATATTTAAATACTCAATTAAATTCAATGTATTATACAACATTAAACATGACAGAATTAAATGATTTTCAATCAAATAATTTGCCATTATTAGAACAATACATTAATGTACATGGTACTACACATATGTCTTATTGTTCACGTGTGACAAGTTTTAAATCCAATTTTTATTTACGTAATATTTTACAAACTTATGTACAACCCTTTGTAATATTCTTTACAATTATAACAAATTGTTTAATATCAATTGTATTAAATTATCCAACAATGCGTAATTCAACCAATATTATATTATTAGGTATAGCTATATGTGATTTATTAACTGTATTATTACCATTACCTGTATATTTATGCTTTTTAACAAGTAATATATTTTCTGAAAATTTAACAATATTTAAAGGATATAGTGTAACTTATTTAACTACAATATTACCAACAGTATGTCATACATCATCAATATGGTTAACTGTATTATTAGCATTACAACGATTTATTTATGTACAATTTCCATTAAAAGCAAATCAGATTTGTTTATGTCAATGGAGATCAGTTCAATTATTAATTATTTTAACTGTATTCGCTGGTTTATTATTACAATTACCGCATATGATTGTAATGCATTTTATTAATGCATTAGAATATTGTTTTTTATCATCGACATCCTCATCCTCATCACCACTACCGCAATCATCATCATCCTTACCACCACCACCATCATCATCATCACCACCATCATTATCAATATCAAATTATTTATCTGATTCACAATTTATTTCATATCTATTTAATACTACTGATAAAATAAATCATTATAATTATATAAGATTTCATAAAATTAATTTAATGAAATGTACACCAATGAGTCAAACAATATTTTTTACATTATTATTAATACGTGTATTAATTGTTAATTTAATACCATGTATTATGTTAACTATATTAACTGGTTTATTAATTATGGCATTAAGACGTTTTATACAAAATAGACTAAAATTATTAAAAATCAATAATCATAATAATAATAGTAATGATAATAATAATAAATCAATAACATTTTATAAAAATAATATAAATTCATATATAATCAATAAAAAATATAATGAAATAAATCAATTAGAAAAATCTGATCAATCTAATCAAAATGAAATCAATTTATTGAATAATCAATTAAAATCAATAAAAAATAATAAAAATTTAAAAAAAAAATCATTACGTCATAATTTAACTGATACTGATTCTACATCAAAAATGATGCTTGTTATATTGGGAATATTTTTATTTACAGAAATACCAACAACAATATGTTTATGTATTTATGCATTTATAACATTATTAGATATTTATCCACCATCAGCATTTTATCAAGTAAGTGTTTAATATTTATTAATGAATACAGTATGTTGTACGGTGGGGCAACTTCGTAGATTGGTTGGAGTTAGACATTAACACCGTTAGATGCCGGTCAGCTCAGTAGTCTAGTTAGTTAAGCGCTTGGCGAGAGACTGATAGGTCCTGGGTTTGAAACTCGCTAGGCGGGATCGTGGATGCGTACTGCTGAAGAGTCCCATACTAGGACGAAACGACCGTCGAGTGTTCCCCGGTTTTTCATGGTGGTCTAGCTTCAATTGACTCATGATTTCAACCAGTGAAATTTCTAAAACTCACCACAAAACCTTTTTTTATATTATTAGTTATTGAAGAATGAATAGAATGAAGAAATTTCTTTTCAATTAATTTTTCATCATGGCCTTTCATTAATATATATATGATTTACAATAATGAAATAATACTCATCGAGTGGGTACGCTATGTAATAATTATATAATGACATATCGATTATAAATTAACAAAATTTCAGTGTGTGGACAGGATAACACTATATAGGCTTTTTCGACACTACGGAGTGCCTGAGAAAATAGTCAATATCATGCGGAATTTCTATGATGGATTAAACTGCAAAATCGTGCATGGAGGACAGCTGACAAAATCGTTCGAAGTAAAGATCGGTGTCAGGCAAGGTTGCTTACTTTCAACCTTTCTCTTTTTCCTGGTGACCGACTGGATCATGAAAACGTCAACGTCTGATAGGAAGCATGGAATACAGTGGGCATCTAGAATGCAGTTGGACAATCTAGACTTCACAGATGATCTGGCCCTTCTATCACAAACGCAACAACAAATGCAGGAGAAGACGACCAGTGTAGCGGCAGCCTCAGCAGCAGTAGGTCTCAATATACACAAACCGAAAAGCAAGATTCTCCGATACAATACAGCATGCAACAATCCAATCACAATTGACAGAGACGATTTGGAAGATGTAAAACCATTTACATATCTGGGCAGCATCATTGATGAACATGGTGGATCTGATGCAGATGTGAAAGCGCAGATCGGAAAAGCAACAGCAGCATATTTACAAATGAAGAACATCTCCAACTCAAAACAACTCTCAACCAACACCAAGCAAGACAGTTCTACTGTATGGAGCGGAAACCTGGAGAACTACGAAACCCATCATCCAGAAGATACAAGTGTTTATTGATAGTTGTCTACGCAAAATATTTCGGATCCGTTGGCCAGACACTACTAGCAACAACCTACTATGAGAGAGAACAAACCAGATCCCATTGGGGGAAGAAATCAGGAAGAAGTGGTGGAAGTGGATAGGACACATATTGAGAAAAGAACCGAACTGTATAATATATAAAAAATAAGAAGGAACTGATGGAATATTTTGATGAATGGTCAGTAGTATAGTAGTTATGTCAGAATCAAGAGACGAATGTTGAGAATATGTAAAATACAAAAATACAAAAAGCAGAAAAAATACGAGAATAGTTTATCAAACTTTTGCTACAAACTCCATTACACCGATGGACAAGGTAGCGAGAGTGGCTGTACAAACTTCTTTTGGATTCAAAGGTTAGGTTTGTGAACACGGATTGCAATGGTTTCAGCAATGTGAAAAGACACAGTCGTAAATTATGTGGCAAATTTGTTGGAAGTTAAATGGCTAATTGTGGTCTGTTTTCTAGTTTTGCAAGGAAAATTTCTTCCAGTAGAGGGCCTAATGGTCACCCCATGGGTACCCCATCTAATTGTCTATAGTGTTCGTTATCCAATCGGAATTGGACATTCATCGTGCATCTAAGAACTAACTGTTTTATTGCGTATGCGGGAATTAAAGTTTATATGCGCCTCTCTGTTAATTCATTACAAATAAAATCCACCGTTTCAAGTAGAGGAATGTTAGTGAATACGTAATTATTTATTAAGTGAATATAAAACCTAGTTTGTTGCTAGATTTCATAGCTATTAAAAAGAGTATGCATACTGATTACAATTTATTCATAGAAGAATAAATAAGTATTCGTTACTAAATGACATCACTAATCAGATAATAGAAAACAATTCACTATTAAACTTCCTTTTGTTCTTTGGAAATTCTTCTACCTTGTGCATTTACAATTTTATTTAAAATAGAGTTCAGTAAATTCAGATCATTACTTATTAAACTGGGATCTAATGATTGATGGCATTTATTTATTTGAATTTGTGATGAAGTCTGATGGATTGCTACTTCATTATTTTTTTTTACTGAATTAACTCCATAACTGGAGGCTTCCTAATGAAACTTCTGATAACCTATCTACAACACAGTGATTATATGGACATGTAACTATAAATGATTAAGAAGGTTTACTGTTCTTACGAGTTGAAGAGCTAAAAAACAAAGGGAAAACAGTATACAGTTCTTGTTGAATTTTCGAAAATTAAACAACTGTCATCAATTCAAGATGAAAGTTATCCTTGAATTATGAGAAATCTCATAATGAAACAAGCCGTAAAAATTATGTAATTTTAATTACCACTAATTAGTATTATTTGCTTTTATTTAAAAAAAAGGATTACAAAAATGTATTAATCTTCTGGCCTACATAAACATTGATCATTAGTTACATAGTTACAATCAAATTGTCTCATGGAATCATGTCACAAAGGAACGGGCTTCCATAATTAATTCAGAAAATCATTGAGAAAATAGTAAATCTCCGTACAAAACGTACACTGTAAAACATGATTACGCAGTTATATCAAAATATTATAAAAAACGATTATAACAGTAATAAGAATTATAAACATATTTTTATCATCAGAAGGGGTTTTGTGGAGATTTTAGTGATTTCAATAGTTGAAATCATTAGTCAACTGAAGCTAGACCACCATGAAAAACCTGGGAGCACTGGATGGCCTTTTCGTCCTGTTGTGGGACTCCTCAGCACTGTGCAGCTACGATTCCTTCTCATACTAGAACGAAACGGCCGTCCATTCAAAGTCTAACAACATAACCACAGTTGTGTAATAATACGAAAAAAGCGAAAGACTCAGTTGATTATCAGATGTGACGATCAGACACTAAAAAGTTTTTAAGAGTTTTTGAATCAAGATAGACAGTTAGTAAAGTTATTACTTTCTAAAAAGAATACGATTATCTAAAAGTATTCATTTCCTTAAACGTCAATTCTGCTAGCATAACCATTGTTATCCGCATTGTTCGGATACTCATGCTCAGAGAACAAAGGTTATGCAAAGTGAATTTGGATTTCTGCCTATTTTGTTGGTTACAATTAATCTTAAATACTTCCATGTTTTGATAAGTAAAAACCATGTATAAAGAAAGGTGATTCATGTACGTGATCATCTAAAGTTAAGTCTCATTGTGGAAAGCTCTTCATACAAATACAGAGTAATTTAAGTTTAAATCAAGCTAATTTATATACTTATTAGGCATTAAGTCAAATGTGTCCATAATTTGTGCTCAAAGTTGTCCAGATGAAGATTTTGAATAAGTATCACTTCAACACCAATAACTACGAATGATAATAATTTAAAATGCTAAAGTAAAATTTTATATATGAATTAATATTTTGCATAAGGAATCAATAGTATCTTTAAAAGTATAAATCACTAGGATAAAAATATTTGGTTGATATTCTCTCCTATTTTCAAACATAGAATCACGTATTTATGGGCGGATTTATTACCTTGAAGAAGTCCAGACAAGTTAGCTGGGCGAAACGTTAGAATTAATGAAAGATTATTTCAAATATAATTTTCACATAAAAATGTCTTCTCTATACTCGGCACCCAATTTCTGTTAAACTATTCGTTCTAATGTTGACGAATATTCGTATAAAAAGCTTGATAGCTTTTTACTTACGCTAATGTTATTATAAAAGTCAGTTCTTTATAAATATAGATGAAGTAAACGTTGTGAATATTTGCAGCACTCCGTTACGTAACAGTTTGATATACATATATATTAATTTATTAGATTACTCGATTTTTCTTCCGGGTGTTGATCTCCCACTTATTGTTACCTAATCTTAAATTAATTTTTGGAAACAATACTTTACATTAGTTAACTCATTCTTCTTTCTCAAAACATTTATTCTCATCCAGATTATTTATTTATATCGCTTATAATGCTATTGTTTCTATTTTCTTGATACTCCCTTTATACACTTTATTATTCAATGTTTATCTGATATTGTAATTTAAGCTGATCTAGAATTATACGAGGTTCTAGATTGCTTATGGTTAAATAAGAATTCTAGGTGAGACTATAATTTATGGATGACATTTGAGCAACGCTAGACTGACCTTGAGAGTGTTCACTTAATAACTAGGACCAAATGAGGGTTATGGACCTGGGTGAGAAATTAGAATTATTATTTACAGTTGATGATTTAGCTTAAGAATTAAGCTTTGGGTTTCCTTCACGAATTGATATTAGCTATAATGGCAAAACTCTATTTATCCAAGTAATGAGTGAATTTCGCGCCAAAATGCGAGACTTGTTATCTTGTTGCCTCGCCGAGTTCTAATGTAATTTAACGCCTATAGCGTAAATTACTAATTTTGATTGTTCTAAATACGCCGATTTTTTTGTTGCTGTTAAAATTCCTAATACTTACACAACTATTCTTGCCCTACTTATTTGTCATCGATTCCATAAGCAACATATTAATTACCGTTCATTTTGATTAGCTTAAATCTATCTTGATACATCTTATCTATTACCATAGACTGAAAATAATATTTACAAAAAACATCATTCTTCATGACTACTAAGTTACATTTATATAAGTATAAAGATGCTCTTTATAGTTTTATAGTTTAATAAAAATCATTGTATGATAGTAAGAGATCATTTTTTAAATATACTAAAGGTCTCATTTAAAAAAAAAGATTCTACCATTGTAGATTGATTTTAATTTTTAATCTGACCATCCCTTAACACTACACATAAGTTAGTTAAAAGAGATTATCAAGAAGGGCCATATCTGGGATATGCATTAAAT